AACGAAAAACAGTGACCAATGAGAGGCGAGCTCGGCTGGCGCGAGGCGATCGAGCCAATGAGCGGAACTGGGTTTCGCGCGCTGGTTGGCTGGGCCGCCTCGCGTCAGCCGTACTCGATTCTTATTGGTCACTGTTTTTCGTTAATAACTCGTTAACGGTGCCTCGGAGAACATTTTTGTAAAGGAAGAAGTTGCTTCAAATGATCCGAGGAACCCGCCATTTCCGGATTGCGAGACATTTTTGGGACATTCTGTGGACTGTTGTAAATCGATATGAAGACAAAAGAAGTGTGAAACAATGCATATGAAGACGATTATTTGGTTCAAACGATGAGCGAGTGAGCTACTAGAGCAAGCAACTATAGTGGCGCGTCGTCCAGAGAGATGACATCCGCGAAAGCCACTATAGCGGCGTGTCGTTCTGAAAGATGACATCCGCGGAAGCCACTATAGTGGCGCGTCGTGCCTAAAAGGTTAATAACACCTGGTATGCATTTTGGACGTAAAGTGTTTGCCGGTCGAGAGTACGCATGCTCTATTGCTTGATTTTTGGGACTTCGCTTCTCTCGGCCTCGATGGCCAGGACGTGTCATAAAAAAGGAACAGTTCCGAAGGGTCAGCCTGACATTGTTTTATGACGGTGATGCCTGGAGGAATTCTCCTATCTTTGCCAAAGCCTTGCGGCCGCTCCCACCTCCCATACACCAGCACCCTCCCAGAAAGACGCGTTAAAGGCGCAAGGGAAGGGCGTCTGCTTTAAAACAGACTCACTGATTGGCTATTGCCAAAAATCAAGGAAAACCAATCAGCGAGTATTAGAAATGCGTTGGAGGGGTGACAGTCTACCACGAAGGAAAATATTCTCTAATAGAACAGAGTTGTAACAGAATTCGTAGAACTAAGACCTCTTGACCAAAAGGTGTAGTGTAGTCGCGGGTTGAATACAAAACTTCGAGCAAAATCCGGTTCTTTATTTTTATATACAGTCCACATATATAGCGTCATAATTCATCGCTATTACTGACGACGCTGTAACGCCCCAACAAGCACCTAAAGTATCGTTTACGATTGTTCCGGCGAACGGAGGTGTCGCGCGGCCGACGGAACGGTTATTGTTTGTCGAGAGTATTACTGGGTTAGAGCACTTAATTGCCGCCGAAAGCGGACGCGAGGATTGCAGAGTTAAGGGGAGCTCGAGATTTTTCAGCAGACGCGCGCACGAAACTGGCGCGCTCGAATATCCTCTGCCGCAAGGAACGCGGCGAAAGGATGAGTTCCCGCACGGTTCGTCACGACGCTATTTGGGACATCGCGTATCCCAGTTAATTCAATTTATAGCTTCTAGCGGGTATATTGCTCGCAGCTAGCCTTTATCGTTAGATTAACCGTGACGCGGCTGCCTCGGCGGGTTGACACCTCGTCGAGATATTGGTACGATCATCTGCATGTTAACCAGTTATCTGTGTTTGACGAGTACGTCGGGGAGAAGTGGCAGTGTTTTGTGTCACGACGAGTATACTCGTCGTCGCTTGATTCTCGTGATGCATGTAGGTGCGCGCACTGAAAAGGAGGCGCCGCAGCTAACTGGTTTAAATTGGTGCAAATGACTTGAATTTTTTTTTTAGGTGGCACTGGAACTAGTTTCCTAGACAATGACTATTTGACCACGTCTCTCAGACGTGATAGTCATTACTGGCCCGGTTATCTGCCCGCGTCTCTCAGACGTCATAATCATTTCTAGCCCGATTATCTGATCACGTCTGAGAGACGCAATCATCTCTGCACCGATGTTTTGACCACGTCTCTCAGATGCGATAATTATTTCTGCCCCGATTATCTGACCACGTCTCTCAGACGCGATAATCATTTCTAGCCCGATTATCTGATCACGTCTGAGAGACGTAATCATTTCTGCTCCAATTTTTTTACCACGTCTCTGAGATCCGCCCTGATTATCTAACCACGTCTCTCAGACGCGATAATCATTTCTGCCCCGATTATCTGATCACGTTTCTCAGATGTGATCATAATTTCTGCCCCGATTTTTTACCACGTCTCTCAGACGTGATAATCATTTCTAGCCCGATTATCTGATCACGTCTGAGAGACGTAATCATTTCTGCTCCAATTTTTTTACCACGTCTCTGAGATCCGCCCTGATTATCTAACCACGTCTCTCAGACGTAATAATCATTCATGCCCCGCTCCTTTGACCACGTCTCTCACACGTAATAATCATTTCTGTCCCGACTTTTTAACCACGTCTCTCAGACGTAGTTCCAGGGCAAATGGTTAAAGAACGTCCTCGCAGCGCGTCGCCTCGCCGAACGAAGGAGCAGGCAATAACGATCCTCTTGTCCACGGACAATCGATATTCTGCATCCGCGGTTCCGTCACGCGGAACATTAATCTTTCCGAGATATTCAAAACGGTTCGGGGAACGCGTTCGGAACGCCTTCGCCGTGAAAATATGAATGTTTCAGGAATATGCTCGGCCCGCTCCTCGCTCGCGCTTTCGACGATCGTAATCGATTAATTTCGAGATTTTCCGGGGGAATCGCCTCGGGGCCGGAGCGGCGGGAACGATCGTCGTTCGAGTAATCGCACGGTTAATCGCGACTCGCCGAGGGAAGAGAGCGCCGAGGATTTCCGGGTAGTCAGCAAATGAACGAAAAGGGCCACTTACCTGGCTGGGACTGCACAGCGCGCCATCGGCAAGGCGGCAAGGTATCTCGTGAGGGGCATGATGGAGCCGTTGAGGGTGGCAACAAGGGTCGTTGCAGTCCTCCTCCCAGCCGCAATCACACTCTTCGCCGTCTTCCACCACACCGTTCCCGCAGATGGCGGTTTGGGGCTCTGAGGACACATCGATTCTCCATTTCACTGGCGTCGATCTACTTATTCTTTTTGCCGCGACGCTGCAGACCCATCAGCGATCGCTATTAAATCCCGCTCAACGCCGTAACGATCCCACGTTTTCTGCTCGACCCCCGCTCGTCGACAGTTTTTATTAACACATCACCCGCCACCGGTTGTCCCATATTCTTCCGAGTCTATACGGTCCACGGCCGAGGACCGGTCTCGGCGAATTTTGCGGTAACCATCACGATTCCCAGCGAATTTTCTTAAGGCGCCGCGCCTTTAATCGAGGCTGCAGGCACGCGAGCGTCGAATCGACGGATATTCGTTGTCTGTTCTTACTTTGCTGATGAAGAACGAGAAAGATTTGTCGTTTATTTGAACTGGATAAATTAGGAAAGATGAACAATGTTCGTTTTTCCGACGCTCGTGCGAATCTTGCCTAAGGAAACGTTTGTTACAAACGGGGAAACACTTTGCAATGCGGTGAATTCTGCCTAATTGACGCTCAGATTGTATTAGGTCTTCCGGAAAGTTCTGTCCGATAGTGTCACTTCAAGTTTCAATCCATATGCACATGTTGATTTGAGACATATATGACTGTCTCTCTTTATCATTGCATTTACACACATGTACTCTCCTAAATAAACTGAAACAAAGATGTCTCATGTCATTATTAAGCGAGACGCGATCGTGAAAACATGGCTGGGAAATTCTGTCGCATCCACCATACTCCCCAGACCTAGCACCCTCCGATTATCACTTGTTTCTCTCTTTGCAAAACTTTTTACAGGAAAAAAATTCAAAACTGAAGCTGATGTCAATCAAGCACTAGTTGAGTTCTTCGCCTCTAAAAATAAATCATTTTTTAAAAATGGCATTTACATCACGCTGGCAAGAAGTCATAAGTAACGATGGAAAGTATATTCTACAATAAATATTATTAAATGTATGAAAATTTTTTGTTATATTTCAATTCAAAAACGGACAGAACTTTCCGGTAGATCTAATACATAAAAATGGACAATTCGAAGTGGAGATACGATTATTCAAGCCTTGCGGTTAGTTTTTATGGTTATCGATTGTCAACGACTATAAAAACGAGCAAGACTCGAATAATCGTGTGTCTTCAGACTAAACTACTGGTCTCAACCACTCAAAACCGCAGAAATTATTTTAATCTTGAAGCCTGGGAAAGGTCCTAGTTACGTCTCCTCTGACGGACTTATAAGTCTACCGCCAGTTATAGTAATGTCTCCCTAACTGATGCTCAGATTGTGCACAAAAGAGGACAATTTGGGGAGAGGAGATATGATTATTTAAGCGTTATGGCTCGTTTTTATAGTTACCGGTTGTCAACGACTATAAAAACGAGCAATCGCGCAATCTGAGCGTTAATTAGGGAGAAATTACTGTACGTGGTAGATACTAGGTATGTGAACGCGCGCGCGCGCGTCGAAATAGTTACATGTGAGCTCTGAATTGCCTTCGAATCGTGGCAAGTGGCTTTGAATTGCCTCCGAATCATGTCACGTGGCTTCCGGAATGCCTTCGAATCGTATCAAGTACCCTCCGAATTGCCTTCGAATCGTGTCAAGTACCCTCTGAATTGCCTTCGAATCATGTCACGTGGTCTCTAAATTGCCTTCGAATCGTGTCAAGTATCCTCCGAATTGTCTTCGAATCATGTCACGTGGCTTCCGAATTGCCTTCGAATCGTATCAAGTACCCTCCGAATTGCCTTCGAATCGTGTCAAGTACCCTCTGAATTGCCTTCGAATCATGTCACGTGGTCTCTAAATTGCCTTCGAATCGTGTCAAGTATCCTCCGAATTGTCTTCGAATCATGTCACGTGGCTTCCGAATTGCCTTCGAATCGTATCAAATACCCTCCGAATTGCCTTCGAATCGTGTCAAGTACTCTCCGAATTGTCTTCGAATCGTGCCAAGCTTATTATTAGTTGAAAATTACTATATTAGTTACAAATTACTGTATCACTATACGAAACAATAATAATTCCGATTTGGAGCTACGGTTTAGAGCTGCGGGGCAGTGCTAGCGAATCTAGCATAGTCATTATCCAATGAACACAATAAAAAATACTCAGTTCAATGGCGAATGCTACTTGATACGACTGCAACGCAACGTTACACAATGACTTGAACATCCTATTTGTACTTGACGTCACCTACGACAAGAGCAGGAAGCATTTCCGTGCATTTTTTGTGCACAATCTGAGTCTTATTTAGGAAGAATTCACTGTAACACCTAAACCTGAAAATATATCGGTTTTCAATCTCTGAATGAATTACGTATAGCGATTCGTTCACCGCAATCTCGCAGTCATTTTGACGCAATGCATTATCAGATTGTGTACTTTCTTTATACGATCTACGATAAATGGAATACGGTTCGAATTGAATTAAAATTGTACAAAATTTGATTGATGTCGAATTAAGGGCCGTAATTTAATCATCGACTCCAGCGGAATATAGTTAAGCGAATCGGGTAAATTGCAGATTGAACCAATTTCGACGAGCTTCCGTTCCTGTTAGAGAGGATCCTTGATGGAGCATGCAGGATTTATTCCACTTTGTATATATAATAATGTAATAATAATATAATATAAATATAACATAATAATAATTATAAAAACAGCTTGGCACAGAACGCGTTAAAATCGGTTTTAACCCATTACCCGCGGCAATTCGAAAATACAAAAAATAATTAAATCGAGGTCATTAGGTTCAACCTGAAGTTTACAATGATTTAAAACAAAATTGCGGAAATTCTTAATACATTCATGGCGCACGCGATATGTCGTCACTATTTCAATGCCCGTATTTCATTTAGAAATAGCAGTTTTTGAAAGAAAAAGAATTTGAAAAACTGTCCCAAAAATGGGACATAACACCGAATAATGCGTTAATACCGGCATGTGACGTCAGTACCGCCAAAAATACCGAAGTATTTCACATCGTGAGATGTTTCAGTCTCCGTCTGCATCGTATTTCATTTAGAAATAGCAGTTTTAAAAGAAAAAAAATTTGAAAAAGTGTCCCAAAAATGGGACATAACACCGAATAATGCGTTAATACCGGCATGTGACGTCAGTACCGCCAAAAATACCGAAGTATTTCACATCGTGAGATGTTTCAGTCTCCGTCTGCATCGTATAGAATCAAGGAAGCGTCGCGGCAGGCGGCGGCAGCGATTCGGAAAGTAGGGACGAGCCGCGTAACAGAGGCAAACTAGACGGAATAAATGTTAACCTGATTCGCCGCGAGCTTAATGAAATCCTGGATTTAATGAAGCTCAACAAGTCGGCCGCGGCTGCGTAATGGAATCAATTGCGGAGCCGCTGCGATAGCTGCTCGCGCTCGGCTCTGTTTTTACACGGCCGCGGCGCGGCGCGGAGCGGAGCGAGGCCGTCGGTTCTACGCCTCGAACTTCCGGTTCCGGCGATCGTTTATCCGTATCCGATTTGTCGGCTCGAGTTGCTCGCGGTTCGATCAACAAGCCGATGTTCAGATTAAAAATCGGCTGGAAACGGCGCGGCGCGTTATAATCGCTCGCTAAGCGACGCGACGAAGACGCCTCGCGCTCTCGGAATTTTAATTTCTCTCCTCTTTGCTTGTTAAGCCGTGTCCATCGACCGTCCGCGCGAGCCCCTCAACGGTTATTCCGAAGGAAATGTAAATCGCGATTGTAAACCGCAACCGCGCGCGATGCGGGGGTCACTTTTATTTTTATCCGGAACAACGGCTTCGGACGCGGCGGGAATACGCCTGCACGGAAGACTTATCGCTCCCTAAAGAATGTTTACGTAGCCCGTAATGAATTGATCGCGTTGTATTCCGGGACTTGTTGCGCGATTAACGCGCGATAAAACGTGCCGGCGGGCACTCGGACATGCGAGTGCCGGCACGAACGGATGGAAAAATGTAAAGCGTTGCGGAAATCCGGCGAAACAAGAGGGCCCGAGATGGAATTAGTCGGGGAAACATTCAAGGAACTCGTTAATGGACAGCCTGCGGATTTTCTGCATTAGCGTTCTCGTTCGCGCGAACAGCCCGCCGCGGTGAAGTGTTTAAAAAAGCGCCCGAGAGCTTTCTGTCCGCGATGGAACATCAGAACACGATGGAACTCGGACTTGAACTTTGCCCTTTTCGCGCGTTTATGCGAACGCTATTTCTTTGATTTCGGCATCCGTAGATCGGTCGTCGCTATTCCTCGCTTCCTGTCTCTTATCTGTTTTTCGACGAAGTTCGCGCGCGATTTTTCGACTTGCGAACATTCCGCGGAGCTGTTCGTCCCGTCTGCCGCGACCAGGCCGCGTTATTAACCCTTTTTAGGTACGGCTGAATTCTGCGCGAGGCTATTTCTCTGGACGGCAGAGTCTGATGTGTACTGTACAGAGTCTGATACTGTATATTCTGTCTGTATATACAAGGGATCCCAAAAATGTCTCGCAATCCGAAAGTGGCGGGTTCCTCGGGCCATTTGAAGCAACTTTTTCCTTTACAAAAATTTTCTCCGAGGCACCGTTAGCGAGTTATTAACGAAAAACGGCGACCAATGAGAGGCGAGCTCGGCTGGCGCGAGGCGATCGAGCCAATGAGCGGAACTGGGCTTCGTGCGCTGGTTGGCTCGGCCGCCTCGCGTCAGCCGTACTCGATTCTTATTGATCACTGTTTTATAATATTTATAATGTTTATTAAATATTTATTATAATAAATATAATATTATTATATATTATATTATTTATTTATATATATATATAAATATATAAAATATATATATAATAAATATAGACATATATAAATAGATATATTATATTATAGTATTATATATATATATATATATATATATATATATATTATAATAAATATAATATGTTTTCTTCTCAATAAGTATAAATTGTCCTCTTTCTTCTATGAAATTATCACAATCGAGAAACGTCTAATCATTTTAACTACGAAGAAAATAGTACGGCAAGGGGTTGAAGTTTCGCGCGGTCTGCGATGCCATAATTCCACGTAAGAATTCATACCTCATAACAATGTGAATTTCCGACCGTTTCATTTTCAACAAAATTAATTTTTAAAAAAAGTTTTTAATATTTCTTAGAGCTTGCAATGATTTCCTTAAACAGGCAAGATGTGTAACTTTCCAAAAAAAAAAGAAAACAGGACGGTAAAATATTAAGCCAATGTGAAATAACAAGCTGTTAAAATTGGCAATATTAGTTAACTACAAATTTCATCGTTGCCAAACTGATAGAATCGCCATTGACTCGCAGGTAGAGACTCCGGTGCAATCGATATTCCGAGGCATCGATATCCCCTGTCCCTCCCCTCTGCTCGTCTCTTTTTTCCTCCCCCGTATGCGAAATTTATTAACGTTGTAAGGCTAGATTAGTATCTCCCCCCCTCTCCTCTCTCCTCCCGAGAGGAATAAAAATAAAGAACGCGCGCCGCGCAAGGGCGGAGAGGAGAGGGGAGGAGATGAAAGTCTGCGAGAGCGATACATCGAGGCTCGAATGGCCGCCGAGTGGCCCGACTTCGCGAGTTCCGGATCCTTAATTACCTTCGGATTCCTAATTTTCCAATTTGCGGACTCCGTGTTCCCGCAACTTCCGAATCTGCCGGTTTTCCCTGACTCCTTAATTCTCGGAACGCCTCGGTTTTCCTGGCTCTCCCGACCCCCCTGCCCCCCTCGCCGCTGCCCCGAAGTTTTCCGGTTTCTTGAGCTCGTTGCAGTGCCGGAATCAAGATCAACAGCGAAAGAAATTGACAAAGTGGGAACCGTGTCCGGGGTTCCGATCGAGTCGGCGCCGGTGAGCGATGATCAAGAGACCGGAAGCTGCGTGCGGAACGGACGTCGCGACGAATTTTTATTTTTCTTGTCGTCGAGGATGTGAAAATGAAGGAAGCGCCAGCTCGGGATTAGGGCGAGCGTGTCAATTACTGTGCCCATTGTCCATTACTGTGTCACCTTTGATGTCCGTGGTTTTCGACGAGCGAAACCATTTTTCTTATCTGCATCGCACTTGTTGAAACGTTTAAATTATACAGGATGTCCCAAAATTATGGTGTTTCTGGGAAATAAGAGATTCCTGAGGCGACTTGAAGCAACTTTTTCCTTAGCGAAAATGCAATCTGCGGCTTCCTTTACGAGTTATTAAGGAAAAACCAATCAAAGTCTGAACGATGGCTGTGACCAGTGTCGTCCGAATCTGCTTGAATATTTCAAGTACATGAGATTGAATGTATTTGCTCGCACAATAATTACAGATTCAACAACTTTTCATGCACAAACCAACAGTATAACGTAAAAATTACTTTAGAAAATGATATACAGGGTATCCCAAGAAATTATGATACTTCTGGGAAATTATAGATTCCTGAGGTCATTCGAAGAAACTTTTTCCTTTACAAAAATTTTCCCCGAGGCATCGTTAACGAATCGTTAACGAAAAACACTGACCAATGAGAGGCCCAGAGAGAGCCAGTTCCGCCCAGTTCCGCTCAGTGGCTTGGCCGCCTAGCGCCTAGCCTAGCGCCAGGCGAGCTCGCCTCTCATTGGTCTGTGTTTTTCGTTAATAACTCGCAAACGAAGCAGCGGATTGCATTTTCGCTAAGGAAAAAGTTACTTCAAATGATCTCATGAATCATCCCTTTCCGAGTATTGACATACTTATGGGACACCCTGTATATTTATTCAACACACAACAATTGCTGTTTCACAGAGTCTGGGTTAGAGTAGGGGTAATAAGTCAATCGCAATGTTAGTCGCAATTAGATTTCACCGCATACGTGAGCATAAACATTGTATGGGTCAGCATTGACCCCGAGTCTGCCAGGCGAGGCTTAAAGTTCATTCTCGTATTAAACTGTTCAGCACATGAATATGTAACTATGTAACTATGAATTACTACAATTTAACCATGAAAATTACAGATCAAAAATTGAAAAAATTCAATATCTTCAATTTAACGCTAGATTTACGGAGCACAAAGAACAGCTGTTTTATATCAGCCTATAAAAGTAACAATAAGACATTTATTCTGATTTTGAACAAGCGTTATTTTGTAACATTTGCCGTAAAAGTAACATAGAATTGAAGTAAAATTGAATAAATAATTCATAATTGTATCTTTACGATACGAATAATAAATTAATATATAACAATAATAAATAAAAAAAATTAACGACTCGTCATTTTAACAGGTTCCGTAAATCTAGTGTTAACAGCATTTTTTAGAAAATAGGACTGATATTTATTGTAAGGACACAATAATCGGGGAGTGACACAGTAACTGGCACAGTTATACTAGGACGAAAATTGAAAGGTAAGATTCGAAAACGGTTTCGGCTCGGGGAGGGCGCGTTTAATTCGGTGACTCGGCTGGCGACGTGGATCAGTTTGCCGGCGTCGGTCGAGCACGTGTCGATCGCTGATTAGCGGCGTCGTTTAAGTATAAATAATTCAGCGAGTAATCTTGTTAACGGCCGATCGAAGTTCCACGGGTCAGAAGTGACGGCTCGCGCGCTAACGCAGAGACGTTGACCCCGTTCGAAACTAATTAAAATTCCGAAAGCTCTGGGAGTACTCACCGGCGAAGCAGCCTTTGGTTGAGCGGGCCTTGGCATTTAGAACGGGATTTATGGAGACCAGGCTGCATGGGCTGAAGCGATTGTTGTTCCGCTTGTCCCCGCTGGTGGCCCTCGCGAACATTATGAAGTTTCCGTCCTCCCCGCCGGGCGAACACTCGTCCGGGTCGTGCTGTCGCGTTTACAGACAGAGAAAACGTTGCCGGCATTCACAAAAGGAAACTGAATTATTGCTTTACGCTCCGAAACATTCGGCTATTCTTCGGTCAATCACCCCGAGCCCCTCTGTCCAACCACCCACGCGCTATTTCAAATTTTTTCACGTTTCTGCAGCGGACACGTTTCCAAACACCGCGCCTCGCACCGCGCCGCTGAAAATATTTCGTACGGCTATTTTTATAAATTCCCGGCAATTTCGCCAACTCGGAATTCATTTTCTAATGCGTCGATTAATTTCTTGCAGTACCGTTTCCTTCATTGTCATTGGAAGACCTCTGACACCTAGTAAAAGGCATGGAAAATTACACGAATCCAAAGCGATAATTTGGTCGAATTTTTTTACACGTTCTCGCTGCACTATTTCTATGCAATTCAGCTTAAACGAAAGCTGGAAGTGTCTACTTCGAGATAGGATAGATTAGATCGAAGTAGGATGACGAGATCATTTTGAGGAATTAAAAGGAATCGATCTGTGACAAGCATGGAGTTTACAAGATTTAAAGGGAAAAGTTCAGATGGATTTAAAAATATGTTCTCGCAGAGTTATTTTTATGCAACTTAGCTCAGTTGAAAGCTGAAAGTGTCTACTTTAAGACAGGCTAAGATTAGATTGCAATAGAATGATGTGATTATTTCGAGGAATTAAAAGGAATCGATCTGTGACAACCATGGAGTTTACAAGATTTAAAAGGAAAGGTTCAGATGGATTGAAAAATGTGTTTCCGTAGAGCTATTTCTATGAAATTCAGCTCAATTGAAAGCTGGAAATATCTACTTCATGGTCGGATAGATTAGGTTGCAATAGAATGGCAAGATCATTTTAAGGAATTAAAAGGAATCGACCTGTGACAAGCATGGAGTTAACAAGATTTAAAAGGAAAGGTTCAGATGGATTGAAAAATGTGTTTCCGTAGAGCTATTCCTACGAAATTTAGCTCAATTGAAAGCTGGAACTATCTACTTCATGGTCGGGTAGATTAGGTTGCAATAGAATGACAAGATCATTTTAAGGAGTTAAAAGGAATCGATCACTGACAAGCATGGAGTTTGCAAGATTTAAAAGGCAAAGTTCAGATGCATTTAAAAATATGTTCCTATACAGCTATTTCTATGCAACTTAGCTTAATTAAAAGCTGAAAGTGTCTACTTCAAAACAGAGTAGAGTCAGATCATAGTTTTTATTCCAGCATTACTATGTATCGATATTAATGCACGCCGACCGCTGCATTTTTTCGCCGACTGCATCGAGTTTCTATAGAAACGAGCTGCGAGGCCCGAAGAATCGCGACTGCCGATTTCAATTCCGACTTCCGAACATTTCCGAGAGAAATCACTATACAATGATTAAAAGCCTTCCGATCGTAATCGTCTCGTCGATGAAGAAAATACATATTTATTGCGTGCGCACGTTTACGCGTCTGCTTAAATATTAATGAGAAGAGAGCAGAATTGAATTTCGCGAGAACGTCGAAAGAAGCGACGTTGAAAATTTTCCATTCGATTGAAAAGTTTGATCGAGTTCGGATGCAGGAAGCTCGGCAATCAGAGCGGAGCTCCTCGAGATTACCGAGGTAGTCTGGCTGGAACAATTGGGATCGCGGGACGGCGGTAACGTTTGTGTGAAAAACTTCCGGGGAAACCGCCCCTAAAACGTTTCACGCGTATTCGGTAGCAGCGTTAGGGCTGTCAGTCGTGAAGAGGCGTGGAGCGGTGAGAAGAGGAGAGGAGAGGAGAGGAGAGGCTGCTCGTGAACTTACCGGGGATCCAAAGTTGTGACCGATCTCGTGCGCGAGGGTGACGTGAGAAACCGTCGGTGGTACGTGCTTCCCGTAGTTGAGTAGGGTGATTATACCAGTGTTCAGCGATTTCATGCTACCCCTGTAGTGCTGCAAGATGAAACTGCGTTAGTTCCCCCGCGTAGCAGCGCCGGGACCAGCGTCATTTATACAGAGCCCGCGTTAATTACGCTTTCGGGCTGGATTTTCGAAAATACTCACCCCGTTCTTCTCGCAGACACCGCCGGCGTTCTTCAGGTCCCCCGTCCAGGCCAGTCCCAAGGTGCCTTTCTCGAAGTCCCGGTAAGTGAACATGTAGGACAGGCAGAACGCGTCGTAGTCCTCCTCTGGAAACACGGCTCAGATTTGTCTACTTTTCGACATGACCTCGCATTTATTTTTCGCTCGCAATTACCCTATCGCAAAGTACGATGCTGCAGTTGTAATTTGAGGAAAAGATTAGATGGATTGAAAAATATGTTTCCGTAGAGATATTTGCATGCAACTTGGCTCAATTGAAAGCTGGAAGTATCTACTTTAAGACCGAGTAGATTAGATTGCAATAGAATGACATTATTTTGAGGAATTAAAAGGAATCGTCCTTTGACAAGCATGGGATTTTAAAGGAAAACAAGATTTTAAAGGAAAAGTTCAGATGGATTTAAAAATATGTTTCCGTAGAGATACTTCTATGGAACTTAGCTTAATTGAAAGCAAAAAGTGTCTACTTCATGATCGGGTAGATTAGGTTATAGTAGAATGGCGGGATCATTTTGAGGAATTAAAAGGAATCGACCACTGACAAGCATGAGGTTTACAAGATTTTAAAGGAAAAGTTCAGATGGATTTAAAAATATGTTTCCGTAGAGATACTTCTATGAAACTTGGCTTAATTGGAAGCTGAAAGTGTCTACTTCATGATCGGGTATATTAGGTTACGATAGAATGGTGGGATCATTTTGAGGAATTAAAAGGAATCGACCACTGACAAGCATGGGGTTTACAAGATTTTAAACGAAATGTTCAGATGGATTTAAAAACATGTTTCCGTAGAGATACTTCTAAGCAACTTAGCTTAATTGAAAGCTGAAAGTGTCTACTTTATGACCGGGTAGATTAGGTTGCAATAGAATGATGAGACCATTTTGAGGAATTAAAAGGAATCGGTCTCTGACAGACATAGGATTTACAAGATTTAAAAGGAAAAATTCAGGTGGATTTAAAAATATGTTTCCGTAGAGTTATTTTTATGCAACGTAGCTCAATTGAAAGCTGGAAGTGTCTACTTCAAAACAGGGTAGAGTTAAGTCATAGTTTTTATTCTAGCATTACTATGTATTCATATTAATGCATGCTGGCCGCTGCCTTTTAAATGATTTAAAGTCGGTTGGATCTACAGTCTGCGACAAAAAAACGTAGGACATATTAAAATTAAGTGATCTTTATTTATTATTTTTACACAATATTGCAAAATACCATTATATAACTACATAAATGCAATAGAATTGTATTCCACCAGTCTGAATAATTTTATTTGAAATTTTATTTCAATTGTATCTCATTTGTGTATTTGAATTTTTGTAAGTTTGTATAAAAATAATTGATAAATTAATATAAATAATTGATTGTAACGTTAAATAAATAAAAATCTTGAAATATTAAATTATTAAATATTGGATTATTATATATTAAATTACTAAATATTGAATTAAATAAATACTAAGTTATTAAATATTAAATTAAATAAATATTGAATTATTAAAATATTAAATGATTGAATATTAATTTAAATAAATATTGAATAATTAAATATTAAATTATTAAATATTGAATTATTAAATATTAAATTAAATAAACATTAAATTATTATATATTGCATTAATAAATATTAAATTATTAAATATTAAATCAAATAAATACAGATCTTTTTACCGCGGAGTGCATTACACGCTGTTGATCACTCGTTAAGCGTCGCTGGAACAAAGCATTCGCCCATTTCCGTGCTACGGATTAGCACCGCAGCGTCGATTGAAAATTGCCGGTTCGCCGGGAAATAACAAAACGTCTTTGGTAGCCGGCCGAGAGAAAGTAAAAACGACCGCAGCTTTGACCGCGCGGCCGCGAACGCGATTTCTATTTAATGCAGATTACACTCGACCACGTCGTCGAGTGTTATACGGGGGACGAGGTTCTTTTTACCGTTTTTTCCGAGGGATGACAATTCTAAAAAGGCCGAAACACGGCTCCCGGCGACCTTGCCCGGAACACTCGATGAACACACCGTACGTCCGTAAACAATCGCTCTCATTGAAATTCATATGCGACGTTCATGGAATATTCATCGCTTCTTCTGCTTCCTCCTTTTTTACATTTTGCTTTTTGCGCCCGGCCACGGGCGCGGGAGCGGCCGGGACAAAAATGCCGCGAGAAACTTCTGAGAACAAAAAATGGCGAACAAAGGGGTGGAAATGGGGCCGGAACGAGCCGGAGACTTCATCCCTGTCCCTCAGCTCCGGGTTCACTTTTCCTCCTCCCTTTCCTTTTTTCCCACTCTCTCTCTCTCTTTATCTCTCTTTCGCTCTCTCTCCTCCCTCTTTGTCCCTTTCTCTCCCCTTCGCTCTCTCTCTCTCTCTCTCTCTCTCTCTCGCGGTTATCTCGTTTCATATACTCGAGCTATGCCGGACACCGCGATCCCCAGCGGAGGGAGCTCGCCACGGTTAGAGAAAAGTTCAACCGGAAATTAAATTACTGGACGTTTCGGGCCGGCTGATTTATTATTTTCGGCCAGGACAACATCCAGCAGGATGTTCGGCCGTGTCGCGGCGGCGGCCCGGGGAATTCAGGGGTGGCGCGGCCACCCCCGCGATCTCGCCCTCCCGTCAGGGGAGCTCCAGGTAAAATACTGGCCGCGACAATGGGGAAATTAAAAACGAAATTAATTAAAGACTTTGGAACGAGCGGCATTTGCCTGCCGTTCTCCCGCCGGGCACGGCGGGTAAAAAAAGGAACGGCCGCGGGAGTCGCATCCTTTCTAATTGAATTCACTGAATCTTCCTCTCGATGACAAAGGAATTTATAGGGGATTACTGCATTTGAATAGTATTAATAAAGACTGCGCGCAGTTTGCTCGGACATTATCATTCCCGCGGCGGAACCGCCCCTGCGGACCTGGACGATTTGGACGATTCGATTACGGCACCGATTTTAATTGGGAAGCACGGGAACGAGAAGATTTTTTGCTTTATCGTTCGGACATTTTCGCTGCGGCGAAGATGTAATCACATTTACAATACTTTTTACGATGTAAAATGTCACCGTTCAAATCGTATCCACGATGGAGAAAGCCCATTGGTACGGTGAAATATAGTAATTATTTCCCGGAAATGCCAAATTTCGGGTTGCTGCGAATTTCCCTGTGCCAGTCCTACGCCTATGTAATTTATTGCTACGTTGATTTTAAGGGTCGAACGGGGCGGCGAAGCGTGTGATGCGACACGTGACGCGAATTCCCGGAAGACGGTCATTTCTCAGTAATTCGCTCTTAGATTGCGCGCAAAAATGGACGATTTGGGAAGAGGAGGTACGATTAATAGACTCGTTTTTATAGTTGTTGGCAATCGGTGACTATAAAAACGAGACGCAAGGTTCGAATAATCGAACCACCTCTTCCGAAATTGTATATTTTTGTGCACAATCTCAGCGCGAATTAGGGAGAAATTACTGTACTAGGTACGTGACCGACAAATTGTGATATGTGGCCTTTGAATTGCCTTCGAATCGTGTCTGTGGTCTCCGAATTGCCTTCGATTTGCGTTCGAATTGCTTCCGAATTGCTTTTGAATTTCCTTCGAATTGCCTTCGAATCGTGTCTGTGGCCTCCGAATTGCCTTCGATTTGCGTTCGAATTGCTTCCGAATTGCTTTTGAATTTCCTTCGAATTGCCTTCGAATCGTGGCATATGGCCTCCGAATTGCCTTCGAATAATGACACGTGACCTTCGAATTGCCTTCGAATTGCTTTCGAATTGCCTTCGAATTGCTTTCGAATTGCCTTCGAATTTCCACCAAATTGTCTCGGAATTGCTTTCGAATTGCTTTTGAATTTCCTTCGAATTGCCTTCGAATCGTGGCATGTGGCCTTCGAATTGTCTCCGAATTATTTTCGAATTGCCTTCGAATTGCTTTCGAATTGCCTTCGAATTGTTTTCGAATTACTTCCGAATTGCTTTCAAAACGTGTCATGTATCCCCCAAATTGCCTACGAATCGTGGCAAAAAACTAGAAATAAAAAAGTTAAGTCATTGTCATTATTTTAGCATTACTATGTATTCATATTAATGTACATCGGCACGCTTGCCGCTGCCTTTTATTGCCGACTGCCGCGAGTTCCTATAAAAACAAGCCACGTAGCTCGAAGAATCGCGACCTAGTATTCTCAGATCTGCCGGTTTCAATTCCGACTTCCGAACATTTCTAGGAGAAACTACTGTATTTCGTCGTGGTCGGTTAACCGGTTAATAATCCTTGTTACGGCGTCAAAGAAACCTCGAGTGTTCGCAGGATCGATACCGGAAGCAGAAGACCACCGCGTCCTCTAGACAACGGCGGGATGGCCCACGGGGAATACGCTTAGCCTCTTTGCACGATGCTTACTGCGGTTTTTGCAGTTCCGATGCGTCGGCCCGGTCTTTTTGCAACGTTTGCGGGTGGAACAAGAGAAACTGAGGGAGACAGAGAGAGAGAGAGAGAGAGAGAGAAACAGAGCGAGGGAGAGAGAAACAGAAAAGGAGTGAGAGCGAGAGCGAGAGAGAGAAAGAGGAAGAGAGTGAGAGAGAGGAATAGAGCGAGAGTGAGAGAAATAGAGCGAGTGTGAGAGAGAGAAAGAGAGCGAGAGAGAGAGAGAGAGTAAGAGAGCGAGAGAGAAAAAAAAAAGAGAGCGAGATATATATATATATATATATATATATATTTAGAGAGAGAGAGAGAGAGAGAGAGAGAGAGAGAGAGAGAGAGAGGAAGAAAGAGAGCGAGAACCATAGAGAGAGAGAGAGAGTTAAAGTGTGTATGAGAGAAAGAGAGGGAGAGAGGAAGAGCGCTGCGTGTTTGCCAGTAGCCGCGAGTCTCAGGAGGCATATTTGGTTACTGGACGCTCGCGGCAAATACACGTCACGGTCCGTGTATCCCGGCTCGCGGAATATGAAACGAGCCGGGTGCCTCGGCAACTCTGTTTCATGGTTCCTCAGCGGATGAGAACAGCTGCCTCGATTTCAATTCATTATAGACCCTAGCTATCCTCTGCCGCCCTACCGAAACAACGAGTGTCGCTTACACCTTGCTCGATTGTTTCC